AGTGGGGATCATAGAACCCTGAATTCAGGACTTGGTGGGTTAATAAATGAGAAAATGTGTGTATTTTGGTCTTGATTCTCCACTGACACTGCAAATCGGCAGTAACAACTGATCAGTGGAGTCACACTGGTATAAAACCAATGTTCGTGAGAGAAGACTGGGTCCCAAAAATTTCATTCACATGTAATCAGTTAATGATGAAGGTTGTGTGTGTGCTAATGGGAATAAAATTGGAATCCATAATAGTGTGATGTAAAGGTTTTATGAGCATGAGTTTGTGGTAGTCACATTACTCACACGAAGTGAAGCCACAAGTAAATTGTTTAGGTCATTTCAAACACAGGTCTATAAAACCTATCTCCCACACCATACCATCATGTATTTTTATGACATTACACGTTACTAGACAATCTATTTTAGAAATGTTTTAGAGTTAAAAAATTATTGATACAATTTTTATATCCTGCCAGTAAAGCTTGATGCCTTAGTTACTATGGGCCAGATTCTCCATTTCTCTGGTATTGCAAAGTTGCCCCCAAGCTGCATACAGAGATCCTTGAGTGGCATAACACTACTGTAGTTATTCCTATGCCACGCCCTTCTTCTGACCATTGGCATATGGCAGCGGTGGCCAAATGTACTGACTCTCTGAGCTGCACAAGTTCGCAAGCTGGGGCACACCTGCCGGGGCTTGGGGCTTCAGCCCTGCAGCAGGTGGGTGGAGCTAGGTGATTCTGCCCTGCGGGGACGGGGTCTCAGGGCTTCAGCCCCATCTGTTGCGCCTGCTGAGGCTCGGGACTTCCGCCCCGTGGGAGGCACCTGCCAGGTCTCGGAACTCCACCCCAGTAGGAAGGAGGGTCTCGGGGCTTCAGCCCCGTGGGTCGCGCCTGCTGAGCCTTGGGGCTTCAGCCCTGCAAGAGGCACCTGCTGGGGCTTGGGGCTCCAGCTCAGTCGGAAGGGAGGTCTTGGGGCTTCATCCCTGCAGAGTGCACCTGTTGGGGCTTCAGCCCCATTCCTGGGAAACCCTGAGTCCTGGCAGGTGTGCCCTGTGCGGGTGAAGCCCTGACACCTGGTGGGCAGAAGCCCCAAGCCCCACCACCCTGCCGCAGGGCAGAAGCCCTGAGTGCCCCTCCCCCCCTAAGTCTGATAGGTGGAGAATGGGGGGCTCTGCAAGCTGCACTTTAAATGTAAAAGAGCCGCGGCTTGGCTACCCCTTGCATATGGGGAATGGTAGGGGAAAAGAGGGTGCGTCAAGGGTTTTTCTTATGCCCAGATGATGGTTGGCTGCTGTAACAGCCCAGATGGTTGGGATTGATGGCAGCTAGTATAAATTAGAGGCTGGGACTGGCCTAGCATCTGAATGGCCTAAGGATCAGGGGAGCACCAAGATAGTTTCAAACTTTGCAACTTCTTCCCTACCCAGCGTCACCAAGAGCTTATTGCCCACAGGTCATGCGCCCATGAGTCCAACTGTACAGGGCCCAAAGAGACTCATTAAACTTCTAAAGATGACCTAAACTAGCTTTTGTATACTTTAAAAATGTCATCATTTACAGTACACTATCATAGGACTTACCATTGTTTGGAGTGAGTGTTGGTGTCTCCCCTTCCCAGTGGCATCAATCTCCAATTTCTATCACTGCAGGTCTAGGAGATATTGGGCTTATTTTCTTTTATATAGAGAAAAATTGTCTGTTGTCCATCCTGGGCCTCAGGCCAATATATTAAATATATTAAAATTAGGTTAAAACTAGAAGAAGAATCAAAATAGATCAATATATTCCTCATATCTGTAGGATGGGTGGCTGTAGGTCTGGAAGCAAAGTTGTAACTTTGTGGGAGGAAGTACTACATTTTGGGAAGAGAAAGACAAAACATTTCTGGAGCAGGTTTGTTTAACTCAGTGGTTCTCAACCAGGTGTATGCGTATCCCTGGGGTATGTAGAGGTCTTCAAGGGGTACATTAACTCATCTAGATATTTGCCTAGTTTTACAACAGGCTACATAAAGCACTCACGAAGTTGGTACAAACTAAAATTTCATACAGTGACTTGTTTATGCTGCTCTATATACTATACACTGAAATGTAAGTACAATATTTATATTCCAGTTGATTTATTTTATAATAATATGGTAAAAATAAGAAAGTAAGCAAATTTTCAGTTATAGTGTGCTGTGTCACTTTTTTGTATTTTTATGTCTGATTTTAAAAGCAAATCTTTTTTAAAAGAGATATAACTTGGGGGTACGCAAGACAAATCAGAATCCTGAAAGGGGTACAGTAATCTGGAAAGGTTGAGAGACATTTTAAGTAAAATAACAGCTGTCTGAAGTTGCTCAGGGACTGGGAATGTTACAATAAATTCTGCGGAGATGGATTAGGGAGCACAATACAACTGAGGCAGTGAAAGGACACAATAAGTTCTTTATGCACATAGCTTTGCAATTTATCCCATGGTTATAAAATGTATCATGGTGCTGCAGTTTACCACATGGTGCTGCAGTTTACCTTCATGCATCTGGTACCCAGTGTTCCCTCTACTTTTTCCCGTGCATGTGCAGAATGAATTTTGTTATGATGTGTCATACATCACCTCCATATTGGTGCACATAACAAAATTCATGTGTTGGGGGTGGGGCTAAGGGGTTTGGAATATGGGAGGGGGCTCACGGCTGGGTTAGAGGTTTGGAGTGCAGAAAGTGTGGGGAAAGGACTCCGGCTGGGGTGCAGGCTCTGGGGTGGGGCTGAGGATGAGGGGCTCAGGGCTTTGGCAGAGGGTTGGGGTGCGGGGTGTGGACTCCAGCTGGGGGTGCGGGCTCTGGAGTGGGGCCAGGGATGACGAGTTTGGGGTGCAGGCTTCCCCAGGGCTACAGAAGGGAGAGCAGACTCCCACCAGCTCTCTCTCCGTGCAGCAACACCTGGGCTGGCGGGAAGAGGTGCCTCTCCCTCCTGTGGCGCTTAATAGGACTGTTGCGCGGCCGTGTGGCGTAGAGGGAATTTAGTGGTACGCATCGGTTTATAAAAATAAATGTTATATAACCAAATCTATGCCCATCTAGTGATAATTGTGACCTTTCTGTGTGGCAGTTCATGGCCAGTAAGAATTTTTCTGTGGCAGTGGAGATAGAACCAATATTCTCCTATCATTTGACCTAAAGGAGAATGTCTTTCAGCAAGATAAAGCCTATGACACACAGTTAAGCAGTTCTGATGCCCTCTAGCATAGGTCATTGGTACCTGAACATGTTATTCTGTTCATTTCTCCCTTTCTCTCATGGAGTATGTCACCCATGCGTTTAAAAAAAGTTTGCAGTTGACTTTTTCTGTGGCCAACAGGAAAGTGTCAAACATGAGGATCCTAAGTCACATCCAGTGCCACCTGGGCCATTATTATATTAAATACTATTATAAGAAGCTTTGGCCTCTTTGGCCCCTTTCTTAATTCAGCCCTCTGTTCCAGAAGTGCTGCTGTCTCAAACCTCTTTTGACACCCGAACAGATCACAAAACACTGATACTTCCAACTGTCTGGGTTCTGAATGATTGAAATCAAAGGGCCACGATCCTTATTCTCCTCTCCCTTATACTGGCTTTACACCAGTATAATTTAATTCACTTCACTTGAGTTTCTCTAGATATTTATTGGTGTGACGAGAGAAGAATCAGGCCTATGTTTCCTTATTTGTGGTTAGGGGATGCCTGAAGGAAGGGAGATCTTTGAGAGGTAGAGAAATGTTGTAAGGCAAAGCCTGCACTAATATCAAACAGGAAGAAACTTCTTAGGTCTGAGTCTGAACTTGATTATATTAGATTAACGCTGGTGTAACTTCACTGATTTCAGTGGAGTTACTTCTGATTTACAGTGGTGTGAGATCAGAATTAGCCACGTCTCGAGCGTCACCTCATGCTGGATAATTCATTTGCAAACTCTTTTAATTAGTCACAGGTAAACTCTGACTTCCTGGAGTTGGTGCCTCTCCCAGAAATGGACTCTTAACTACAGCTGTATCTGTTCCAGAACTCTTGACTCCAAGTTCCTCTGCTACCATGCAAGTAGGTGTCATATGAAACATAGGTTAAAATCCTTCCCCCTCCCTCTCTCCATGCTGAAAGATCAAAGGCCCAGGTCTCAACATGCTAGACAAGACAATCACTTCAGAAGTTGCTTTGTGGGAAAAACAGAAAACAGGCAGGCAGGCAGTTTGGCCACTGTGCATTATGTAACCAGTGCACTGGCTGCAGGAGCTGGATGACTGACATTGAGAAATTCCTAGGGGAGGGGGAGAGGGTGCTGCCCTGGAGTCACTGTAAGCGCCAGCAGTTCCAAGCAACCTGAAGGGGAAAGTGGCTTTCGGTAAAAGGAAACAAATTGGGAATAATAACAATAAAGCTGGAAAATCTGCTGCAGTACCAAATGTCAGTACACATGTCATTTATTTTCCTGATGAAATGGCATGCATCCAACCCTTGCACATGAACAAGGGGGCATGCCATTTGGGAAATGAAAGGCAGCCACAGCAATACAAAAAGACAATGTATTTTCCCTCATTCCTTTCTCTCGATTTCTTGACATTAAAAGCCAGATAACTCCAAAGAGTCTTGTGCTCCTCATCCTAGATCCCTAAATCTAGTTCGGTATGGTGACAGCCCCTTGGATGGGTTTCAGAGGAACAGCCGTGTTAGTCTGTATTCGCAAAAAGAAAAGGAGTACTTGTGGCACCTTAGAGACTAACCAATTTATTTGAGCATGAGCTTTCGTGAGCTACAGCTTGGATGTGTTACTGCCCCTTTAAGACCTGCTCTCTTCCAGTTCCACAGAAAGGGAGTGACCTCTGGGCTTTGACAGCTCCCCTAATAACTAGTCCAGCCCAGGCTCCGCCCACAGCGCCGGATTGGGCAGCGGGCCGGTATCCCATCCTCTGATTGGCTGGGCGCTTCCCCTAAGCGAACCTTTAGAACTCTGAGACACAATATTCTGTTACATTGTAGCAAAATGGCGACTGTCATTCACAACCCCCTGAAAGCGTAAGTAGGAATCAAAAATGTACATATTCCGCGTGGTTTAAATATGAAAAAAGGCGCCTTTCCGATGCTGCTGCCTGCCTGAGCCCGGTGCCTCCAGCCTCCCAGCTGATCTCTCCTCCCTCCCTCTTTCCTTTCTGAGCTCCTCTCTTTTTGTGCAACACACACAGACGTCTTGCGCTGAAATTAACGAGAAGAAATTGTTACATTTGTGTTGTGATTAATTGGCTGGCCGGGAGGAAGAGAGATTTGAGTTCTGAAGGGGAGGATGGCAGCGGGGTTTCTTGCAGCTCTTGGGGCTGCGTGGATCTTGGAAAGAGCAAGATCCTGCAGGACCCCTGAGGGGGGGCTCGCACTTGACAGAGTCCCGAGCCTGACGTCCGGGCAGGCTCCCCGGCTACCAACCCCGTGTCCAAGGGAGAGGGATCAGTCCTGGGAATCGGGGGCATAATTATCGGTTTTGCAGTGCTCCGACAGCAATTCGGAGTTTTCTTTTGCAAACCTTCTTGGAGTTGGGATGACTTGAAGAGGGGGAAAGAATCAGCCCCAGCGTTTGCTGGCTCTGTAGCAAAGGGGGTTGCACCGCTCGTTTCCTAGCAGGGCAGCAGGGCAACAGGGGCATTGCAATTACACTTCGGTTTGTGTGCGAGGAAGAGAGAAGCCGGACTTGCGTGAAATGAATGACTCGGGGTCACTGATGGTTGATTTTTAGGCAGGAAGTCTAGAGAGCTCTTTGCGTACGGGAGGTTTTCGCTTTTAAAAGTAGCAACGAGAGTTGATTGTGTTTCCATCTTTGGATGGACACGCTGATTACCGAAATCTGCCCGGATGTAAGGGCAGAATTTGGCCAACTGTTTGCGAGGCGATATAGGAAGAGAGGAAGGGGGCAGGTGCCTCTGCTACAGAAATGTGCTGGGTTCTCCGGTCTTGAATTAAGGCAGATGTAAGAGGGGCACACAGTCATCTTTCGCTGGATCAGGTCCCTCATTTCCTCATGCTCCGCTGCACACACCGTTAATCCCGCAAGGCAGTAGGAAGAGTGGGATTTGGCACCGTATGTGGGGAGAGAAGGGGCTGTCTCAACCTTTTAAAATGACTTCTGTGCTAGGGGGCAGCTCTTGCTAATAATGCAAGATGCTCATAATGCAAGAAAGCAGAGTACCTGGTGGAGACACTTCATCTGTACTTTCTAGTCACACCGAGTGGGCGCTTTTATCCGTTTGAGTTTTTAGAGATGTAATGCAGACTTTGAGCTGTGTCCTTTCAATTAAACTCGCTCCGATTGGAGTTGGAAAAATACTTGGAGTTTTTTTTTCCCAGGGATTCCTGCTGCTGTCTCTGTGCTGTGCAGCAATCTGGAGGGAAGGAAAGCTTTACACTGGGAGGGGGCACACAGCTGGCATATTTACATCACTCTTTCTCCATCTTGGCATCAAACGTTTTCTTACATTAAATATTCTTTCATTTAGTAAATTGTAAAAAATCTGTTGAGAAGGGGGAAGTGCCGTTAGAACAGTGTTATCAAAGGAGTAGATGTCTTTTGGAAAAAAAGAAGACCACCCCCGGTGAATATATATGGATTATACAATGTTCCACCAATCAGCGTGCATATTTTATAGTTGTCCCAGTGAGAACAACTTATTAACATTCTCTCCGCACCCCACCCCCCCGCATTCTGCTGCTTTAATCATTTTATTTTTCAATTTAAAAAATAAATATGTTAGATCCTTCATTGTTGCCAATTTAACTGCATGGAAACAATATAGGTAACTATACAATAGGTTTTGTTATATGTGTAGAGAGACAAGGTGGGGGGAAGTAATATCTTTTATTGGACCAACTTCTGTCCTGCTTGTGTGTTGTGTGAAATGCCGTGTATATTTGTGTGACTATGTAAATACTAATAACAAAGGAGGTTGCTTTTCTTTCGGGAAAGTCGTTCGTTTGGTGTTGGAAGGTGAGCTTCCCAGGCATCCGATCAGTCTCGTGTCGCGTGGCGCCGGATGGTGTGTGTGTGTGAGTGTGAGTGTGTGTGCGCGGAGAGCGAAGGGAAGCTTGATTCTACTCTTGCTTACATGGGTGCAAATGAGGAGTAACCCCACATGGTGGTAAGCCCGTGTGAGAGTGTCGAGGACGGGAGACGAGGGGAGGGGATTTGAACGTGGGCTAGCCCTTTCTGAACGACGTTATGATGTATTGTGTTAGCGGTTCACTTTTTGTAATTGTGGTACATGTACCATTCACACCTGTGATTTATATCTCCGTACTAAATCCTGCCTCGTTTGTACTTATAGTTAAATTCTTTCGAAGCCCAGTCCTGTTCCCAGTGAAGTCAATGGGAGCAGGAGCAGGTCTGATATAATTAGCCCCCTATTCCTCCCCCTCCCTCTGGGGTGAGAAGAGAGGAAACAATAGACCTCAAGTGCAGGGTTTGCTTTTCTCTGTGAGCCTTTTAAAGTACCAATGCTGGGTAGGGGAAACAGGACTGTTACTGGCTGGCTGACACCATCTGTCTTTTTTTTTTTTTTTGGAACAACTTGTTTAATAAAACATTCTATTTCCATTTATTCTTACAACTTGCTGATCAGGAAACAATACACAAGTAAATAAATTATGCAAGGGATAAATTAGGACAAAAGCATTAAGACACATAATGGGGGGCGAGGGGGGGGGAGGGAAGGATGCATTGCACAGTGTTTTATCCTCATGTGTCCTTCCTGACAATGAAAGGGAGCTGAATGACATTTGCATTTCCTCTGTCTGCGTTTTGATTGTGTCTCAAAAAAAGAAAAAAGACACGCCCCCTAGAGAAACTGGCCATATAAAGGTTTCGCTCTGATGGGGGACAATGTAGATCTTATATAGATTGAAATACTAGCTCAGGTATTGTGAAATGCCCTGTGTGTTTTTGTTTATTTATGTATGTATGTAGAATATTCTTTTCGCTCCAGTATATAGACACTTACATTGCTCTGTTTATACTATACTAGTTCTCATGGGATAATATTTTCCAGTGTACCTGAATATCTGGTGTAAATACATGACATTGCATAGCTCAGGGCTGGGTCCCTTTATAATGACCAGTGACTCTTTACATTACCATTGCCTCTTTCTCTGTCTACTCTCCTTTTTCCATTGCTTGATCACTTTGGATGTCTCCATCTCTTCTCTGTCCTCCTCTCCTCTATTTGCTTCTCTGATCCAATCAACCTGACATGACTCCCATTGTTTCTGCCATTTAACACCTTGTTGTTTGCCAACATGGTGCTACAGGCAGAAATATTGCAGGTCTGAGTTCATCAGATCATAAAGAGAAGGCAGCAGGTGTCTGGATAAACACATTGTCCTGGCTCAACAAAACAGTCATATTCAGAAACCATCAGTGGATAGTGGTGTGTTTTAAATTCAAGTTTTTTTAAGCAGCCTTCTGTTGTGTGTCTATATCTCTCTATATTTTTTCCTATCTCATTCTCTGCTTTTAAGGCACACATCTTATTCTAATAGATATGAGATGCATGGATGTATGGAAGGCGGAAATATTGTAGAATAACACTTTAAATCACTTAAAATGTCATTCAGCTGTCTCAATGTGCTTTACAAACACTAACAATTAAACTCACAACACCTCTGTGAAGTACTGTTATCTCCATTGTACAGAAGGGTAAACTGAGGCAAAGTGCGCTTAAGAAACTTCCCAAGTTCACACAGCAAGTCTGTGCTAGAGCTAGAGCTCAGAAAACTTGACTTCCATTCCTTTGTGTTCTCTCCACATTCTGATGTACATATGCTGCCATAATGTATTTAATGTAATTAAGATCTTGTCATTTAAAAAGTCTTATTCAGAAGCAGAGCTGATTTTTTTTCTCCACTATCTTTACTCCAACAGCTGAATTTTATTTCAGATGATCAATTAAACACATTAACTGGTGCATATGTTAACTGAGCTGCTGCCTTTTTTTGCTTGAGACTTGCTCACACTGTAATTCTGGATCTGTATCTCCCAAAGAGCAGTGATTTCCTTTGGATAGCATGGACTCAGAATAGCAATGCCAATGCAAACTCTCCCCTTCCACTGCCCAGCTCAAGACCTAGAGAGCCTACCACTGGGATGACGGGGTAGTTCAGTTTCTGTTGTTGGGGATAATTCATTCGCCCGCTGAGGATATTCTTATAATGGATTTTGTGATATGGAAACTTGTTAGTGAGGAACTGATCTGGAATCACAAACCTATTTCATACAGGCCACAGAACAGCTCTTGGATGACAATTACTTTTGGTCACTTACGACTTTGGATTGAATTCAACTTGTGACTGAGAGCTGAAGGGCTCTGTATCCCATTTTCATTCCTTGAATCAACCCAAAATTGTGATTCAGTGCGGATGAGGTCCAATTTCTTGCATGTTGTTGCATAGCCATCTGGTTGCTAGTTTTAAATATTAAAACGAAATCATAGTGCACAACGCTCCTTTCAGCAGCTGTTAACCATACAAAAGGCTGGACAGTTGGATGGAAAGTTCATGCTTCAGTTTTGACAAGTTAAATGAAGGTGATTTGAATGGGGCAGGGGAAGGCAGAATCGCATTTTGATGGCAAGGTGGTTGTGTTCATAAAATCACTTGATCAAAATCTCTAAGAGTCTTGTGTGGCTTCTGTCGTGTTTGAAGTCAGGTAAAAACAGAAACATGCCCAAGTGTGACGTCTTTCAGGCTGAAGCTGCCATTCTCGCTGCGATGCTTTCTACCATACCGCAGCTCTGGCCTTCTGATAACATGATAGATGAATGTAGCTGCGATGTGTCTGGGGAAACATGGGAATAAAAATAAAGCGGGTTAGAGGATAAACAAAAAAAGCCCTGATATGAAAACCCAAGGATATGCTGGGTTAATGTGGGAGACCTGATAAATGAGAGAGTTATGGCATTTTCTTTGGTTGCATGAGTGACTTGTGCACGATTACTTGTTGCAGTGCTTTTGTAATTTGTTTTGCTGGCATTCCAGTCTTT